TGTTCTAAGAATTAGTGCACCAACTCCACCATATTCTAATGAAGAAATAGAAATGGTCATGGAAAAAGTAAATCAATGTATTCAAGAATACACAAAAGAGAAAAAATCTGAAATGATCGAAATGGTTGAAATTATTGAAAGTACAAAAATGATGTTATTATTAATTGATATCAACAAGCAAAAAACTTTGAACATTGTAGAAAGTCTCATTGAAAAAATTATTAAAGGAACAGCTAAAAATGAATTTCCAGTCAAATACGAAATGATTAAAAAAATAATTGAAGACCTTTTAACAGAATGTCCTGAAGAAAGTCGAGAAATAGTAAAAAGCATCATAAGACCTTTTAATGAAAATGACGCACCATTTCTTGAGGAAAAAAAAATAACACAATATCTTAAGAAAAGTAAAATTGAAAAAGAAGTCATTGAAGAAATGTTTAAAGGAATGACTGGAGAATCTAATAAAAACTTTAAAAATGGATTTTGGAGTTTAATTGAAGAAGCTAAAGAAATTAATGATGAAGATGAAGCGATGAGTGAAGATGATGAATTAGAAGATAAAAATAAAAAACAAGATATTAAAATGTTCATTCGTGTTTTAGGAAAAATTATTAGTTATTATCCTAAATGGATTGAAGGTGATGAAAATTATCTTGAAAGAATTATACTAATTCCAATGGAAGAAGAACGAATTCAAGTTGTTAAGATAGTTGTTGAATATTTAAAGAAAGGAATTATAGAAAAAACAAAGAAAAATGAACTTATCGGATGTTTACTTGAAAGACGTAAAGACAAAAGTGTAACTATTAGAAGTATTGTTGGAAAGTATATGATGGAAAGGGGTGGAAAGGATGAAGAAAGTGAAGAAGAAGATGGAATAGAATTAGATGATTTAATTATTGAAAAAATGAATGATATTGAAGAGAGTATTCGAAGAGAAACAATTGAAGAAATTTATAAACAACGATTTGAAGAAGGAAAGGAAATAGGAAAGAAAATTATTAAAGAAATTAAAGAAAGAATGAAAGACAGAAAAGAAGGAGTACGTGCTATTGCACAGACTTTTTGTGGAGAATATATAAGAGAATATATTGAACAAAAAAGTAGGTCAAGCAGAGATTTTAGTAGTCAAATGATAAATGAAATGATTGAAAACATGGAAAATATTAAAAACGAAGAAGATAATATCAGAATTTATCAAATCATTAGCCAAAATATTTTAGGAAATATTACATTAACTATGGTTAATTCTAAAAGTAAACTGAAAGAAACTATTAAAGAGAGAGGAGAACGTTTAATTAAATTATTTGGACTTTTAGATGAAGAAAATTTCAAAAAAATGATGAAGAAAGAAGGTGTTAATGAAACAGAAAAAAAAGAACTTGGAAAGAAATTAGAAGAATACGAAAACAGTAGGGAAGAAGGAAGGACAAAAGAGATAGTTATTAATCTTTTAAGTAAGATGTATCCAATGCCAACAATTGAAACAAGCAAAAAATATGCTCGAGAAATGTTGGAAGGAATGAGTGGAAAGTTTGGAAGAATGTTAAGAGAGATGGAAGAAGATGAAACAAGTTTTAGTGAATATTGGAAAAAGACTAAACGAATTGATGGAGAAATTGAGATAAAGAAGAAAGGAAAAGTTGAAGAATTTGTTAACGCAATTCTTGAAAAAATCCGAAATAAAATTGTTCAAAAAGAAATGATTAAATATCTCATAAAAACCCACGAAGAAGAAATGAAAGAATATATGGAAGTTATTAGTAAATATTGTAAAGAAGTGAACTATGGAAATATTATGAGAATTATTAAGATGTATGAAGATGATATTGAAAAAAAAGTAAATGTAATGAAAGAGGGATATTTGTATATTGAAAAAGAAGAAAAAAATGAAGAAATGAAAGAAGAAATAAA